ATCCAGCTCTTCAATTTGGTAGGCCCCAAACTCGCCACACCGCACGATCCTATAGGGTCCCAACCATCGTTTGTCGAGCTTCCTAGACCATTGTTTTTCCAGCGAGGAGTCATACAACAGTACCGCATCTCCAACCTTTAGCGGATCCTTTCTTACCTGGGCCATCTAGTCCCATCTCATCTTGTCTTCCATGCGGCTTCTCTCCACCTGACCAGCGGCCTCTCGCAACCTTTCCTCAACAACTTCCACCTGCCGTGCCCGTATATCGAGCAGTTCTTCAAAAGACAGGTTCACTTCCAGGTCCTGGCGCCTTTACGTCTTCATGAAACTTTCTATGGGAAAGGTGGCATGCCTTCCGTACCATAGCGTGGTTGGCGCATACTTGGTAGTCCTTTTCACTGTAACATTTTCCATGAAGAAAACTGCTCGCAGGAACTTTGGGCACTGGTTAGGCCTCCCCTCAGTCCATTTGGCCAGAAGATTTGTGATGGTACTATGCCCTCTTTCCACAGGTGCGTTCGCCTGGGGGTGCCCGACAATAGTATAATTTGCCACCACGCCATACCCCGCAAGTAAGGTCCGCACCTCGTTACAGGTGAACTCCGACCCCCAGTCCATCACAAACTCTCTGACAAACGGATAGTGTAGTTAGTATTCTTCGATGCATCTTGCCAAAACTGGGTCAGTGGTGGGGTATCCTCGATTGGTGGGGTATCCTCGATTGACTCCTGATTCGTCCCGTTCCAGTTGATACGGTTCAGCCCATCTGCCCTGTTCTTGTCCCCAGGAATCCTCTCCAGCTCAAAGTTAAACTTCCAAATGTAGGTCAACCACCTTGCGATGGTTGGGTCAGATGGAGTATAACTTTTCAGGGAACACCCAAGCGCAGTAGGGTCCTCGCTCAAAATGAGCCTCCTGCCAAAGATATAATTCCGGAAGGTTTTCAGGCAATGGAGTACCGCCAGCGTCTCCTTTTTAAACTGAGAGTAGTTTCTCTCAGTCGTATTGAGGGTACGACTTTCAAACCTTAGCGGCCTCTCCTTCCCATCCGCATCTGCCTNCGTCTCCTTTTTAAACTGAGAGTAGTTTCTCTCAGTCGTATTGAGGGTACGACTTTCAAACCTTAGCGGCCTCTCCTTCCCATCCGCATCTGCCTGAATCAGGACCCCTCCTAAGGCAATTGGCCCAGCGACCCCTCCTAAGGCAGTTGGCCCAGCGTCCGTCTCGACAACGAATTGCCTTTCCTCCGTGGCCTCATAATTTTGCACTCTTAGCACCAAGCCTCCTTCCTTGAACTCTCCCTTCATCCTTTCCACAGCCTTCTCCTGGTCTTCGCCCCAGACCCACTCCTAATCCTGATGCACCAGCTTCCTCAAATACTCCGTCTTGGTGGCGAAGTCCTTCACGAAACTCCTCCAAAATCCACAGGTCCCAAGGAAGCTCCTCACGTCCGTTATCGACTAAAAGGGCACTGGCCACTCTAGGATCTTGTCCGTCTTCTTCACATCTGGCCTCCGCCCCTTACAGACGAAGCCCAGAATCGTGGCCTCCCTTATACAATGCTTCGACTTGGGGCCGCTCGCCGTCAGGTTGTGCTCTTCCAGCAGGCCCAGAACCTTATCGATATCCTGGATGTGCTTCCAGACGAACCGTCTTACTCCAGGCAGCACCTCGTCTTCCTCCCTCTCCTCTGGACCCTTGACCGCCAGATCGTCAATGTAGAATTGGGTAATATGTGGACTAACCGTCTGCATGGCCCTAATCATGTGCCTTTGCACCATCGCCACCGCATTAGTCCACCCCTCAGGGGCCACATTCATGTGGATCAGCCCCCTCAGGGTATGCATCGCCGTCACCGGTCTGTCCGGCGGGTATACAGGAAATTGGTCATACCCGGAATAAAGGTCTATAAGTGAAATTATAGGCCTTCCTGCGCATGAATCTGACAGGGCGTCCGTGTTCGGCAATCCTCCCGCGTCCCGCACCGTCACCGCATTCAAACGCTGCAGGTCCTGCACCCACCGTAGCGTCCCGTTTGGCTTGATGAAGCAAAACCAAAGGGAGGCATACGGTTCACTGGAGTAGTCTGCCACGTACGTCCGCATTTTCCCGTCCAGATAGTCCACCACCTTCTTCTCCTCATCYGGATTCGGATATAGCGCGCCCCTCAGATTCCACRGCTCGTRTGGGACGGTATGGATTCATATCATTGGAATCTTATCCACGTCCAACCTCCCACGCTCGTCATYGTTAAACGCATATGCGCAATGCCTCCTCTTCATGGTCTCCATCATCAAGGTCCTCTCCTGGGGCGAAAGGAAGCCAGRCTCGCCAATTATCAGCCCCTCTTCATTCCCATCATTTATTCGACACGGTCCTACCTGYGCACGCTCCCGCATTCGTCTGATAAGTCCCCGCTCCCGCTCGTAATAGGCCTCTTCATCCTCTGTAACAAGCACGGGGACTGGGCGAMACTTCTTGTCTATGGTCTTGTACAGCCTTTGGGAGCCCTACTTAAGCCCTCCCSTAAAAAAGGCCGACTTGTCGTTCGGGCCTGGGCCATCGCAGGGTCCCCCTTCCTTCCTGGAAGCCRATAGATCAGTTCCACTTCTCCCACCTGAGGGCTCTCTAGGACCTGCTCCCTCAATGCCTTTATAGCTTCAGGGTCCGCCATATCATGCRTTGCCACCACCTCCATTGCCTTATTCACATCTTTAAGGCTCAGGGACAATACCTCGCCCGCTCCTCCTTCCTCGTGTTCCTCCCGGAGTCTTCGTCGTGCATACTCAGACTCCTTGAAGGTAAAGGAGCCGAGGTTGAGCCTGTTTCTCCCACTTCCAGGTCCTGTGTTCTGGCACTTGATATCTCATAGTTCCCGYMGGCCGGATCAGATAGGGCCAGGATCATCGTCCCCTCATGCCTATTGAAGACCAAGGTCTCCGTTCGGCAGAGGAACAACCTCCCYAAAAGGATAGGGTGGTCAACATCGGGCATGACAAAGAAGCACRTTCGTGCCCTTACCCTTCCAATTTCCACCATCACGTTAGACGCGGTGCCACAGGAAATTGCTTTACAATTGGCGTCATGCAGCACACCATGGTCCGAATGGTCGACCTCCAGCCCTAGCATGGTCGCATCTCGCTCCCGGATAATGTTCATCTCCRCGTCCGTGTCCATCATTSCAATGCTCGRCTGGTCCCTAACCTTCAAATCCACTAACCCACATGCCACACATTTCCAATCCATCCCGGTACCCGCCTCTGTCCACTCTATCTCCCTGGGCAAAATCGAGCTTAGGTGGACGTTGGGCACTAACCTTCGTGAGAGCCGCCCTTTCAGCTCACCACRGAGCCTTGGTGCTGACGCCAAGATATCTTTCAAATTCATCAGATCATTATGACCTTCCAGGAGCTTGTCCACCATTCGCTCCACGTCAAAGCCCTCCTATAGCCGGACCGCGTACTTCTTCCTTTTTGGCGCGCCGTCGCACAGGCTCGGCTCCGCCTCTCCCTGAACTCCTYTCTTCTTGGCCCTCTGCTCAGCTCGCCGATCCTCCTCCTGGCGAAGCCTCTCATCCTCTTCGCCATCACCCTCCTCTTCTTCCTCCTGAACCTCCACCACTTCTTTCCTTCGTTCAGGCTCATGTTCCCTTCGAGGGGGCGCCCGGCCAGGTGCCTGGCTGGGCCCTTGACTAGTGGTAGCCTTGCTTTGGCCCCTAGTCAGCGCGGCCTGTGGTACCCTTCCATGCGATGTAGGGGGCTTGAAGGTCATCCTTGACCGAGGACCTACCCCGGCTGTCGCCACGCTGGGAACCCCCTGCGGTCCTGATGACGACTCCGGGCCGGATCCATGGAGCATCACTTCAGGGAGGTTTATTTCCCATTTTCGGGCCTCTTCACATATCACTGCCTGTCGTTCCTGGTACCTGCCGACCTTTGCAAGCAGGTCCTCCATCCTTTCCAGGATGGTCGAGGCAGACTCTCCCACCACTTCCAACTCCTTGTCGTCCGACTCAACGACTATCGGTTCCTCCTTTATAGTCCCCGCCTTCAGCCGTTRAGTCACTTCCTCATTTTCATCCACAATCTCCTCGACTCTCACACYCGGGTCCKTSCTTTCCTGCCATATCCTGAACATTGCTGGGGCTGCTCGAGGCCCTGCCGCCGCTCGCCTGAGGGCTTCCTGCCTGATTCCTCCCGGGGTCTTGGGATCGATGTGYTTTTCCCACCTATCRTATATGTCCCCGTCCATACAGGAGGAGATCAGTCCTGCCAGCTCATCGTCCTRCCGCTGTTGGCAGAACCGTATGGTGTRGCCCACCTCGCCACAATGCCAACAAGTTGCGTTCCGCCAATCGAAGYGGGGYCTYCCATACCCTTGGCCCCCCTCCTGGCTGCCCTGGCCACCCTGGCTCTGGCCTCCCTGATTATTCCAACCACCCCCACGACCCCCACCATTTCCTCCTCGCCCCCGGCCACCCTCTCCTCGGCCTCCTTGGCCCCGGCCCCCATTGCCTTGCCCGCCTTGTCCTTGACTCCCTCCCCCGGCCACACCAGCTGGCGAGGCTTGCTGGGAGGGCGGCGGTTGGGCCACAGGCTGGCCTTGGGTCGCCGGGTAGCTCGGGGGGCCCATACTTGCCGATGGGCCCGAAAAGGGGACCATAGGCCCCGTGTGGGCTTGACCCCTTCCACACGAGACACAGTGGTTGCAGCTGGGCCAGGGCGCAGACTGACAATGCGGCACCCAGTGCCCGCAGGCTGGTGGCGGCCCCATATGCGATGGCCCTGTTGGCGCTAGCGCTGGCGCGGCCRCGGCGATAGGCGGCGGTGCGGCAATGGCCTCGGGAGCCTGCCCCTTCCCGAGTAGCAGGTTACGCTGCTTCCTTTGGGCCTTAGTTAGGGCTTGGGAGCCCGTCTCCCCTCCGCCGTAGTCCTCGCGCCCAGCCTCCTCATCCACTGCTCCAGACGCCCGGCCTTGGGCCACCGCCACCCCCCTTTTCTGTATTTCCGCATCGCTGTCATACCCCAGTGCCGCCAACACATCCGTGACGATTCTCTTTACCCCTGGGGTCCCGGATGCGGTAGCATCCCTTTCCTTCCTCTTACGCCTTTGCAGCCACATCTGGTGTTGCTCCACCTGGTCCAGGCTCCCTTCTTCCACTCCTTTGTCTATAGTTGCCCAGGTGAGCTTCTCACTCCCTTCCCCATGCTTTGTTAATTCTGCGGTCTCCGAGCCCATGAGCAATCCCAGGAATGTGGCGCACTGCGCCTCCTCTCAAATCCCGTGCACTTTCCTCGCCTTTTTCGTAAATTCGTGCACAAACGCCCCAATGGTAGATAAGTCTTCCTTATTCATGGCCTCCAAGTCGTCCATGGTCAACAGGCCATYCCCCAGTCCGTACTTCCTCCGCATCAGGTCCCSAAACTTTATCCAACTGCCATTGGCGGCGTCCACGACCTTACTTACTTCCCGATGGTGACTATGCAAGGCATACCTTAGGACCCGCTGGAGCTTGACTTCATCTGACAGTCCTACCAGCGCCTGCTCTGTCAGGTCCAACCAGTCAGATACTCGATCCCAATTCCAACTCACTCCCCATACTCAACCTAAAAGGCTTTAGCCGTGGTGGTTTTACTATTTGTTAAGGGTTTCACCCGGACTTTTATTGAATGGCCATTTAACAAAGGTACTGAGCATTTAATTGAGGTTAGTTGGATCGACATTTGGGCCTTGCATGGCTAAAGCGAAGGGGTATGAGCACAGAGAATGATTGGTGTTGACTCCGTATAGTGCGTGTTTGTCGTTTGATTCTTGATGTGATTGCAGGTATGTCCCGTGACTCTGATTTTGGATTTGGATTGCCTGCGATCCCATATACATACACATGGTTGTGAGGAGTCCCAATGTGCCTGTGAGAAGTGATCGTCGCAACTCTATCTCCTTATTCATGTATGCGTGGGTGGGCTTGTGATGAATATTTAAGAGGCCTAAGAGGCCCATGGTAAAATCTCGTTTAAAAGGTTGAGGCTGAGGAACAGGGAAGACCGTCCCTTCTGCCTATTTGCGTCATGTGGTTTTCTTAGTCGGACGTTGGTCCTGGGCCGCAATTCAAGGTCCTTGTCCATGACATCCCAAGCCCTAGACTCTGCAGGGGAGGAATTTCCCCTCGCACAGAGCCTAATTATTTTGGCCGGTGAGACACCCCACCTTGAAGGCGGAAATGTCGCGGGGGCCGAACGACATGTCCTTCAGCCGTTCAATATCGTGAGGGGTGACCCCTCGCAATGTGTTCCTTCAGCCATTCAATATCGCGAGGTCGGAGCCGAGGTTACCACGTACGATTGACATTAGTGGTTGGCATAGAATTGGCCTGCGGCCACGCAACTTTATGTTAAAGTCCCACACGAGACGCTTCGCCGCCCCAACATCTAAAAGTTATGGGATCACCGGGCTCGCACGTAGGCGCAGCACTTGGGATTACTATAGGCCGCCGGCACCACCCATAGAGGGGAAGGGTGCTCTAAGGTCACGAGTCCTTTTAAAAGCCAGGGGACCTTTGCCCTATTCCCTCTTCTTGGGTTTGTGCGTGTTTTGTTTGCTTTTTAGAGATTTTTATGGTTGGACGTTGTCGTCCGTGGCAGCCGTCAAAGTCAAACCCCTTGACTTTCGCCCAGACCCTGGGGAGGACTTACCCCTAGGGCCGCGAGAGACGACTACCACCACAGCCATGGGCCTGTGTACCACCCACTTTGCATAAGGGTGCAAAAGAGGGTGTGTGGTCTTCAACCGCGCAGGGCGGTTGTCTAGCGCTGAGAGATTAACCCTCAAGGCGCGTGTCAGCCGACACTTGAGTGTCGAATACGGCCCTCGAGATTAACGAGGACCGCGTGAGTATGGGTACTACATAGTACGCCATCATCGCGACTGCTTGCGCACATTCGCATTGCAAGTCGATATGAGATAGCCCCGCGTCCGCGCGCTTTTATATCGGGTCTCACTCGCGACGCCTATCCGATTTTCGCGTCGGAAAAGTTATGGGTTAGCTACCGAGGGGCTAGGAGTGTTATCGCGTTGTTCGTGTTGTGTTGTCTTGCGTGTGTGCGTGGACGTGTGTTTTTATTTTATATTTGTTAAGAGTGATGTGCGTTATCGTGTCGTTTCGTGTGTGCGCTGGTGTGTGTGATGTGTCCTAGTCGACCGACGACGAGCCGCGCTTGGGACCTCAGCCCCCCGAGATGTCAGTTCGCGTGCGGGTCCGATAGGCGTATTACCGCTCGTACCCCCTATGCTACAGCGAACGAGAAACGTCATCGGCTGGTACACCTCTGCGATTGCAGTCGATCAGCTTTCGTATTGTAGACTGGTAGCTCGGCGGGGATATGCCCACCGATGGGAGGTGACAACTCGCGTAAGGTGGAGGTAAGTTGTGCCTCGCGTAGGCCCTATCCTGTCGTAGGGGCTCGCGAGAGGTATGGCTGGCGCACTCGGCCGAAGCGGCCTAAGGAAGCTCCATTTGCGTGTTCATGTCCAGGTTGGTCCAACTCCTGCGTGACGCGGCCGAGAGAGTCCCGCACTGCCGCGCGCGGTGCCGAACCGATGCGCTCGCCGGGGATAACGCAAGCCTATCGTTGTCCCTAGTGGAACGACATCCGGGTATAGGAATGGGGGAAACAAGGCATATGAGTGGATAAGGGGAAGATTATACGATGAATTGTATGGTGGTCTGTATGACAGTGGGTGTGAATATTTGATTGACTGGCGGATTGGCATTTAGCGTGGATGAGGCGAGTGTGTGAGGAGACTTCATGGTAAGGGTAGGCCTTATCAAAGTAGGCCTAAGGGAAACAAGAAGAGAAATGTCTGCCAGGGCTAGAGCGTCGGATATTTGAGGGGTCAACCCAGTAGGGTCGTGAGGGAATGAACTGCTAAGTGGGGCCTTTCGTCCTATCGTTTCTTATAACAGGAGGTTTGAAGCCGGAGGTGGCTGATCAAAATCCCAAAGGTGATGGCGGACGGTGGGAGGAGGCTCGTGACACTTGACGACCTCATCGATGCTTTGGACAAGCGCAAGAGGGCGCCAAGCAATGTCTCTCTCTCTCTCTCTCTCTCTCTCTCTCTCTCTCTCTCTTGCAATGTCTGCTAACCTTCCTTTCTCACCCTCTTGTTTTTGTATTGTCTCCTTCTCTCTCTCTCTCTCTCTCTCTCTCTCTCTCTCTCTCTATCTATCTATCTATCTATCTCTATCTATCTATCTATCTATCTATCTATATATCTATCTATCTATCTATCTATTTTGATCTCCTTCCCTCTCTCTACATTTTTCTCTCTCTCTCTCTCTCTCTCTCTCTCTCTCTCTCTCTCTCTCTCTCTCTCTCTCTCTCTCTCTCTCTCTCTCTCTCTCTCT